ACGATTATTTTATGTTTAGACTTAAACGTTTTGATATAGTTTCTACTGGTTCGAGTTATAAATAGCTCTGTGAAATTTTTTATTATAGTCTCTTCCTGTAAAAAAAACTTTTTTAATTTATGAAAATAATCATAAAGGCAAACCTCCTGATAATATTCTGATATAAAACTTATAAATAGTTAAATAAAGTATCGTTTTTTTCTCCTATTTAAAAATATACAATATTATAAATAAAATGTGAAGGAATTAGATTTATTAATGAATAAAAAGTGAATAAATTATTTTAAAAAGCTATTCTAAATCTCTTTGGAAGTTTCTACTATATAATTTTTAGATCTTTAGTTAGAATTATATGCATTAGTTTAAATCAGCAGTTCTCAACCTTTTTTTTCATTCGGGTATCATCCGAGTCTTCTGTGTACAGACTTGTAGCACTAACGGATTTTCTTGAGTACTCACTAGGATCCTGGTAGTACGCGTACTACTGCTTGAGAACTGCTGGGTTTAAACTAATAGATACGGAGATATCAATTTTTACCATTGACTAATAGAAGTAGCCTAGTAGGATAATGTAATACAATTTACAAAATAAAAAAAAATAATAATTAAGTTTATTACTGTTCCTGAAAATCAGTTAATAAACTTATATAAAATCATTTTAAAATAATTGGCATCTTTAAATATATGCTATTTAACGACTTTTATTTAAGTAATAAATAAATTCACCTATATGCACGTAAAATAGGAATAACAAGAGTTCATTCAACGATTTAATTTAACATAAATGTTATATCTGTCCGCCATTTTCTTCTAAAACAAGAAAACTCGTCAATGCTATAAATATTGACTTCACAAATATTTTTTAAACCAAATTTACTCGATGAATTTACAATTGCTGAATTGGTATAAGTTTTTTAAAAATTACTGTCAAACTTAAAAACCTGTAGAATTAAGGGTTTCAAATCAACTTATAAAAAAGATAAGTAAATAGATTTCAACTGATAACATGATTACCAAATTTTTTTCTTTTAAAATATTTTATATAATTTTACTGAATGTTAGTTTCTATAAGATAATATAAAATAGATTCTATATTATTTTGTTAATTAAAATATAAGCCTACATGAATTAATG